TTGTCGCCTGTTTCTTGAACAGGCGCACTTTCCTTGACATTGTCAAGGTCTGTTTTTTCTCCACTTGACCCAGTGGCCATAACAGTGGGCTTGACATCCGAGAGATAGCACTCTCGGGCCATCCTCTGATCTCCCCTAAGGGAGCCGACTGTTCCATTGTCCCTTTCAAACTTAAGCAGCATAAGTGACGGGATTATAACAGCCTTGGAATTATTCAGGGTTGGTCGACCCAGAATCATGTTGTAGGCAGAGAGTTCCTCTACCACTAGGAACCGGACTACCATGTGTCGTCCTTCCCCTTTTTCGCCCAGGCGGATGGGTAGATCTACTCGTCCCAGTGGGTGGACGACTCCTCCCCCAAACCCTATTAAAGGGTGGGAGGCCGGATGTATGCAGTCCGTCTGATATTTCAGTTTTGATAGACATTTGCTGCTGATGAGATCTGAAGAGCTCCCGGTATCTATGAGGATTCGACCAACTCTCTGGTTGGCCACTTTACATTCAATAACGAGAGGGTCGTCATGCGGCCCCCTTATTCCTCCTAGATCCTCTTCAGTGATGACAATCTCAGGAAATGTATATTTGGACGGTCGTTCTTGGTGAACGGAATTTACATCTAACCGCCTTATATTATCTTTGTTGCCCCTAATAGAGGGGCCGCCTCCTGAGAAGCCGCCTGCAATGGTGTAGACGACTGCATCATCTGTATCAGAACTGTCGGCCTGCTGATTCTTTTTGGCCGACTGCTTTTTTGAGGAAGTGTTTCCCGCAGATTTCTTGACATAAGTGTCAAGATCACCTTGATCAGCCAATCGGTCTAGGTACCGCATGAGACTGATGCAGTCATTGGTGTGATGACCAATGTCATCATGATAAGCACAGATTTTGTCTTGGTTCCGGTTGCTCGCAGAACCCTTCATGGGGAGCGGCTTCTCAATTGAGAGCCGTCCCTTTATTTCTTTTAGGATAAACTGGTTATCCTTGTTAAACACATATTTTGGGGAGTATGGTTTGAATCCTTTTTTCTTTTTCTGGGCCGGCTGTTTAGAGGAATCAGCCGCCCAGACCCCTTTTCTTTTTTCATCCTTGTTGGACGACTGTTTCTGTCGTCCCTCTCTATTGTCGAACCTCTTCCCGTCCGACTGTTTCATCGTACACAGATCAGTCGCCTGTATATAGGCTTCTGCTTCAATCAAGGCCTCTTGAAGAGTCGCCACCCTTTTTCGAACTAAATCAAATTTGAAGGTAGACCCGTCTTTGAGACCTCTAAAAAAGTCAGTATAAGCTACCTCATCCGGTAACCCTTGAATCTGTATTCTCATCAGGTTGAACCGCCTGATGTAGGAACGAAGCCCCTCCTTTTCACCCTGCTGAATTGTTCCCAAATCAAGGGTCGTTTTCTTCGCAGGGATGTTCATTGCGAAGTTGGAGGCAAATAAGTAAGCAAGCGTCCTGAAGCTGTTTACACAACCAGTCGGCAGGTTGCCGAACCATTGCTGTGCAATTCCCTTGAGAGTCGCTGGGAAACACTTGCACCAAGTGGGATCATCCAACCCTTGAAGGTACATCAGGTTGGTGAATGCCATCAGATGGTCTTCCGGGTTAGTAGTGCCATCATAGGCGCCTACTAAAACATTTTTTACTTTGGCCGGCTGAGCGGCTTCAGTAATTTCCTTGGAGAAGGCCGACGGCTGTTCACCAAGTCTAAGCAGCCGTAGCTGCCAGTCCATAGGTTGGACGTTTTTTGCTGCAGGTCCACCAAATGGAGGTGGCTGCATAAAATACTGTTGTTGCGGCACAAATGGTAAGTTTGGTACCGCCTGGGCACTATGAAAGTCGGACTGACGGGAGGTGCCGCCTGACTGACTCTCATGGTACGACTGAGTTGGCCTCATCGAGGCGTTTCGCAAACTGTCCTGAAAATTTGAAGTAGAAGCCGACTCTGATAATCGGTCACTCTTCTTCTGCTCTAGCAGGTGCCGAGCATCTGTGAACGTTTGCTTTGACCCGTCCGCCTGAATATGACGAACCGGTTTCCTATTTCCCGTAGGGTAACGGAATTTTGTGAAATCAAGAGCAGACGGTTCCCGCTTCTTGGATTTAGGATGGGGAGTCGCCTCTCGCCCTTGAACTGGCTTCCTCCTCAGTGAAGTGGAAGGTTTCTTGGCCGACTGCTCTTTGACTGAAGCAGGCGGTTTTTTGTTGATCAACTCTTGGATCTCTCCCTTGAAGTCCCTCATGAAGGTCATGAGTTCGTTCCTTGTGATGGGAGCAGACCCATCAGTCGGCTGTTGCCGAGCAAGCGGTGCGCCTGCTGGCTCGCTTCCTGTTTGAAGATACTCCCGTTCCCTTATTTCAGTATGACGGGTACGGCGGGCCCTTAGGGTCCCGTCTGGAGCTGTATGAGTTTCAACTTCAAATTCACTTTCGGTATCATGGTCCGACTGAACTTGAGGGTCGTCTAGGGGACGCCTCTCTTCTGGAGTCGGTACAGACTTGGATGCCATCTCTGAAGTACTCTCCCCACAGACGGCGCCAAATGTTTCGGGGTTTTCTGATGTCCTGCGGGAGAGTTACAATTCCGAGACTGGAACCGGACGTCTGTACCTGCAAAATAACGGAGACTCCTGAGAGCTCCGCCTCCAACGGTCAAGTTAGTACCTGATTAAGGAGTAATCAATACAGAAAGTAAAGTAATGAGATCTCTCTAGGTGAGAGTGCTTAGTGTTGGTAATCTGCGTCGTTAGCGAGATTAGCCGGTTGTTAATAAGTCTGTTCTTCTCTGCTTGATCTCTTAATTATTCGGTTGTTTTTTTGTTGTTTTTTGATTAATGAGGATTAATCGAGTATTTATAGCCTTGGGAAGCGTGCAACTCTCTAGGTTTAAGGTAAACCTAGGGCTGATCGGGCCTCTAGACTGAAATGGGCCTTGATGGCCGGTTGTCCCACTTGGCATGGGTGGACACGTGGCGTGTCTTAAGTGGTCCGTGGAGGACGTATCTGTGACTGACACGTGGCAAGCTCCTGTTGGCCTTCGTGAAGGACACGTGGCGGAACCTGGTTGGTCCACTTGTCAGACGGTGATTGGTGGATAAAAATCCCCTAATCAACTCGCATCCTTTTCCTTTTAAAATCATCCAAATTATTAACACTACTTCTATAAAATCCATGAATCTTCAATTTAATTTGCTTCTTAATGTACTCATTTATTTAGTTATTTATTTGGTGAAAATTCTCACTTATTTGGAACAACTTAACTTACTACGGGGTACTTTCTATATAACATTTTAAAAAAATTTACAAGTTATTACTCCATCTATTTTATTTAGAATAACTTTTAATTGTTGAAAGAGAAGGTATTGTGTCAGTCCGGACTGATGAAATGTTTCATCAATCCGGACTGGCGAAAATGTTTCATCAATAATTTTATAGAGGATATCATCCAGCCAGTAGAGGATATCATCCAGCCAATAGAGAATATCATCTAGCCAATAAAGAATATCATATACACAATCATAAATGATATCATATAGTCAATAGAGGATATCATCCATCCATAATATCATATAGCCAATAAATAATACCATCCAGTCAATAAAGGATATCATCCATCCAGTAGATGATATGTATAAATGATTGGAGGAGATAAATTATTTGATGGAGGATATGTATAACAATGGTGTAACCTCCATTGAAGAGCTCATACTAAAGGTCATGGGTATAACATAACTTGCTCATTTCTCAACCAAAATACATGCATTTGTCGTCAAAATGATCACAATCCAGCATTCAATCATATGGGACATACAATTTCAACAATTATACATCACAGAAGGGTTCTCTCCCTTCCGCCATGAATACCTTGCTTATCTCCTTCGCCATTGATGTCGTCATTGTCACCTATAGGGGAGAAGGAGATCCACCATTGTTGTCGTCATTGCTATCGTCGTCTTTATCATCATCGTCATTTCCTCCACCGCGCAAGCTATTTGGTCAGGCTTAACTGATCCAATAGTTGGTGTTATTGAAAATAACCTTTTTATTTACACTTTTGGTGAGTAACAACCTTTTATCTAAATACATATGCTTTCTACAGTTTGAGCTTGTTGAGCCCAGGAACAACCCACATATGAGCATTCTCTTGTCCCTCGCTAAAACACTAAAGGGGGAGTGTAGTGGTAACGGAATCCCACATTGAAAAAATTCAAGAGTTACCACCACAATATAAGGCTAAGGGGCTACTCCCCTCATTGTCATATGGTTTTGAGGTGGAACCTCCTTGGTCTTGTAAAGTGGTGGACTTGCATTCTCCCCTGACGGGTACAACCCAGACTCGTATTTAACAGAGCTAGAACTATTAATTAACATGCTATTAAACCTTTGTATGATAGTGTTTTTTATTATGATCCAAACAATGAGCATAAATACGCTTGTAAACCACAAGCAAAATGAATTTTAGCAAACAATTCTGATGTACTAATACTCTTGAATCAACTATTTCTATTTTTAATATTGTAAACAAATTCTCAAGGTGAACTTTGGTCGAACATGTTCTAAATATATCCAATTGGGTTAAAAATTAGCCAGGTTAACTTTTGGCTTCATGTCATATTCTAGATGGGTAGGTATCAAAATAACATTGGGTTAAGGGATACCACAAATTAAATCAGGCTACGTTGTGTTAAATTGTACTCGTAATTGATTTTGGGTTTTAGTCTAAGTATTGGGTCAACATGTTGATGATTAGGTTGAGCGCGATTTAGGTAACAGGTCACCAGCAGTTCCATCAATTGTTTGATGATTATATTTTGATTTGAGTCATTTTAGTAAATGGTGGGTTCTTGGATCAGTTCAAATTTTAACAACAATTGCATTCTTATACATATGCATAATATTGATATACCAATTCCTTAGCATTTAGAGATAATAGTAAGTTGATCTGATGGTTGAAGTCCAGGACCGGTTTATATACTTTATCAACATTGATATACCAAGACTTGTCATTTGTCAATAGAGATCAGAGTATTTATATAATAATAATAGCCAATGATACAATAATCACTCAAGTTGATTATTTGGTGACAAATCAAACTTGAGAGGCCACCTTGTACTAGATAGTACATGTATGATGTATGTGACTTATTCAAAACGTATAAACTCCAAGGCAAAACCGTGAAAGCTAGAGGCTAGGCAATCACGGTAGCTTCAGCATCATACTTGATTAGTGCATGGGTTATCCTGATAAATTTGACATGGAAACCAACAAAACATTATTAAGTGCGTACAACAAAAAGGAATTAGCAATAATATCCATTATGAAAAATCTTGGTGTTCTTAACAGTTTATAAATGATCATGTCTCACCATCTTCTTGACAAAAATTCCAACAGACTCGAGATAGTTGTTGTGCCTTCCAAAAACTCCGACAATAGGACCGTCTAGTAGCATTGGTGATGAGAATTCTTGAGGACATTGAATTCCCTTTCCTTCTCCAAATGGTCCATACCCCGTTGGACGTAAATTGGTGTGGATCTTCATTGTAGCAATCACACATTCGTTGTTTTGATATTTGTAGTTTCCATAGGTACCGCTAATTCTTGTTATTTTTTCACCATGCTGGAGCACAATCTATTTTTGAAAACATGTTAGGAGCATGAATTATTACAAATTAAAAATTTAAGCTCATGGTTAAAGCCCAGACTTGGAGTGTGTTTTATTCGCCTGATTTTTCTTATTTGAACTTATTTTATTTTATCTTAACTTATTTGAACTTATTAGACCTTATTAAAACTTAGTTTAATTGTAATTTGTACTTGGCTAACTCTTATCAGAACTTATTTTTCCTAAACTGAACTTATTAGTTATTACAACTAAAATAAGTAAAAATAAGGTAAACAGAATAGATTCTTGGTTTATGTACTCTATTATCAAGCTTAAATGCTTTTAAAAACATGTAGATAGAAGGTGTATTGTGTATTCACCCTTGTCTCGCATCCGCCATTGCCACCAAACATCTTAGTGAAGGTGTAGGTAACTCCACATGGCTTAGCTACGACGAACCCAATTGCATCCACAATGAACCCATGCCTTACTATGACTTCCTTGAAAGTTTCACCCTCTTGAAGTTGAAAGCTGTAGTTTTCAGGTAATTGAGAACCATAAGGTCCGTATTGTTCGACCATGTGCTTCTGCCAAAGTATAAGGCTAATGACTTAATGTCAACATACATAAATAATCAAATAATTTATGTGCAAAGAAAGAGAAAAACTATGGGATCAAAGAAAGCTAACTTAGCTCCAATCCATAAGTACCTTGGGACATTCTTGAGCCATTTTGTTGAGAGGTGATTGAAGAAGCTTTGAAATAACAAAGTTGTAGTAGTGAGTTGTGAATCTTGTGATGTGCTTTAGTTGAGGATTGGAGGTTACCTATTTATACACATATTTGGATCACTAAGAATGAACATATTCTTGTGGTCCATCATGTTTGTCATATTATAATATATTTGGATCACTAAGAATGAACATATTATTGTGGTCCATCATGTCTGCCATATTATAATATATTCGGATCTCTAAGAATGAATATTGTGATCCGTTATATTTGTCATATTATAATATATTTATTTAAATAATTGACATTATATATGATTTCATACATGCATGTGAACAGTCGTTTGAAATTTAATGGACGATCCAGCATGGATGGATGGATCGATGTATGTATATTCAAATTATCATGAGTTTTTATCTTAATGCATTTGCATGTAAATTTATTCTCTGCGTCCAAAGCATGAACAGGGTGCCCACATTTTGAGGCTTAGAGCTCAATAGTCATATTGTCATAAATAGTCTAATGGACTAGACATTCAGAGACTAGGGGGAAGATTAAAGGTATTTTCGTCTAACTTTCTATTTAAAGTGCTCATAGCGAGGATAGAACATTATATTCAACCTTAAGGCTGGCTAATAGGTTATTTCTTTACTTCCAAAGTATCAGTCCAACACTTAGTTGGTAGGTGATACTTATACATATATCAATATAGGGTAGCTTAACTTTTATGTATGCATAGTACTTCACGCATTGTCTTTTACTAGCAACACAATCTTACGACACATACGTACTTTGGCCGAGGAAGAGATAAGTAGATTAGATATTTTAAACAAACAAATAATATTAATCAAAATTATTTATAATGTGATAGAGTACGTATATAAACCGATCTTGCGCTTCAACCATCAGCTTAAGTTTTTATTTCATTATAACATTGTTACATTGATGACCATCAAGCTTAATTAAAGATTGAAAAAAAACGTTTGCTATATTTCATTGGTCAATTTGGTGAGGTTTAGATAAACATAGATTGAATTCACACTAGCTATATAGGTAAGACAAATTGAAGCAATAATGTCACTTAACATAAAGTAATACCAAAACTTAGATTACTACATTAGCATTAATGACCATCAATAAAAGATAAATTTTGATGGACTTTTGAATTTGTAATTTGAGTTGCATGCATAATCCGCTCATCTTTCCAACATACTTAAGAACAAAGAAAATAGGTGGGACTTTGGCAAGTGATTTTACTCAAAAAGAAAGAAAATAATAACAATATTAGAAATTTAGAATTGTCTTCTTCAAAAAAAAAAAAAGAATTGTCATTGTCAGCGTGTCACAATAGAATGAGGTATTATGCTCATTTTATCTAACAAAATATTCCTCTAGGAAATTCGATGGATTTTTTTATGCTATTGCAACTTTGCATGGTTGAGAGAATGCTTCGGATAATCGATGATTTTTTTTTAGAGAGGATAATCGATGATTTTATCAAATGTCATTGTGCTTTATAAGAGTTTACTAAATACCATCACGTTTTTCAAAACTCACCAAATGCCATCGAATTTTTCAAAATTCACCAAATATCATTAATGAATAACGTCCATTAATAGTGATAAGGGTTAATGATGACACGTGTCAAGATATGATTGACTTCTTTTAATTGATAAAAATAATATTTTTCTCAATTTTCGTGACGAAAATTGCTTTAGCAAGGTAATTGCCCATTTTGCATGTCGAGGAATATCTCGATTTGTGTGCCATTATTTTATAAGCTGAAAAATTACCCGGATAAAGTTTTGGGGGTCCTTTTACCCTTAATAGATATAAATAACGCTTAGAATAGGGAAAAAAATAGCGTAAATTCCTTGATTAGCTAGCAATTGGTGGTAAAATAATAACAACATAAACACGCAAAATCAGGGATTTACATTTTTTTTTTTTTTTTTGCCAATTTTGAACTTAACTTGGACCCTTAAAGGGACCAAATGTCCCCCAAAACCCTACCTGCCCAATTTTCATGGTTCAATAATAGCAACACGCAAATCGATAATTTCTTGACACGCAAAACGGGACATTTATGTTTTTTTTTTGAATTTCGAAATAAATTTGGATCCATAAAAAGTATATATAATCCTCAAAACCTTAACGCACGTAACAGTTTTTGTTACTCAAATTGAGAAAATATGTTACTATATTTTTTTATTAATTAAAATAAATAATTAAAAATAATCAATCATTAGATCACACGTGTCATCATTAACCATAATGACTAATGGAGTTAACAGTCATTAGCCACTAATGACATTTGGTGAATTTTGAAAAACTCAATGGCATTTGGTGTAATTTTAAAAAGGTCGATGATATTTGGTAGAATCACCCGTCAGATAATTCATTTAAAAAGTATGCTACTCGTACATGTGATTTTTATAAAATTGATTTTAACTAACATTATATTCTGGAGTTTATTGATTTTACTGCTTTACATACATAAAATTTCTCCGTATTTTTTAATACAAAGTAATTGTTACTTCAGAATTTGCTTTATATATATATATATACACTCCGTAATAAGATTGAGAGGGGTGAGATTTAACTTTAAACAATGGGTATAGTGATATTTAGAGAAATGCTCCGTAGTACGATGTAATTTCTTTCCAAAGAGAGAAGACAAACTAGTTTGGACAATCGATATATTCTCGGTCTCTCTTAGCAAACCTATTGTACTGGCAACCGACAGAATAAGTCAACATTGTTTTTTTTAACCTTTCTTTACCTCTTAGATCCTGTTCACTTCACATTTAAAAATTAATATTTAATAAAAATAATTTCAGTTCAATAAAAATTAGTAATCTTAAAGAAGAAATTAACTAAATAGTATAAATAATTTCAGTTTAGCAAAAATAACTTTCGTTAAGTAAAAATAATTTAAGTTAAGCAAAAATAATTTCACGTCATTAAAAACAATTTAGTTCAGCAAAAATGAGGGGAAGTGAACGGGGCTTTATTCTCGCTTCCTTCTAATTGATGACATCAATAGCATGGGGCTATTATGAGAGCCACCCACCATCCTTTAAAAACCACAACCCCACCCACCCAAAAACCGCCAATCCGTACCTAAAACCCACCCTACCTTTCCTCCTCCTTCTTCTAGCCACCGCCTCACGCACCCTCCCCCCCTCTCACCACCAGTGACCCACCACTCCCTTTATCCACCTTCACATATGTAGCCACTGTAATCCCCTTTCCCCCACCATTCCCTCCCCTAACCCCAAAACCACCACCCCTGACCCCTCCATTTCCCAAAACCTTACATCTCTCTCCCAAGCAATTCAATATCCTTGAAACAACCATCACTAGCCCATTGTCAACCTAGTTTGTTTGGGGTTTTAAATATGTGGGTGATTTGGAGTGTGTGTGGTGGTGGTTCGTGGTAAAAGGACGGTGAGATTCGTGGGAAGTGATGAAATGAGGGAAAATATGGTGAGTGAGTAGTGAGTGGTGGTGGTGGTGGTGGTGGTTTGTGATTCGTGGTGGTGGGTGATGATGGGGTGGGTGCATAGCGATGGTAATGACTGATAGAGTTTAAAACATATTCCTGGGCCTCAACCATCAGTTTAAGATTTTGGCTGAGTTGATTCTTTAACATGGTATTAGAGTCAGCGTGACATTAAGGTCACAAGTTCAAATCTCATCGCGCCGGGTATGAGAGGGTCTGTGTTGCATCTACATTTCAAGGGTCTTTCATGTGAGGGGGAGTGATAGAGTTTAAAACATATTTTTTGGCCTCAACCATCAGTTTAAGCTTTTGGTTGAATTGATCCTTTAACAATGACGAGGTGGCATGGCCTGGCCTAGGTAGTTGATTTTAACGGTTAGGGGTGAAGCATCCATATATAGAAGGTAGAGGAAAGGGAAAGAAACGATAAGGAAGAATAAAGGAAAAGGAGATTTTTTTTATTTTTTTTGTTAATTTAAATTATCAGAATTAATTTTAAATAAAAAATTTAACCAATATAATACCTCTGGTTCTTTTTACTAGCAACAAAGGGGTATTATTTGTGAAAAATGAAATATCCCTTTGTTGCGAGTAATAAGAACCAGAGGTAGTATATAAAATGGCACGTGGCTTGACAATCGGTTATAGTGGGTAAGGTGACCGACAAGGGTTGCCAAAAGAAAATATTTAGTAAACTTAGGATTATCCAAAGTTAATAGAGATAGATGTCAGATTATTTTAGGAGAATGAGGCAAATGTTGGATTATTCTTGTTAAAATAAATTTCCTATTATTAATCCTTATTGATAATTTAATGTATTAATGATTAAAATTTCTTTGCATTAACAAACATTCTCAAAAGGAAAATTTGCAAATTACAGCCATTGAAAGTTCGTATTTTGCAAATTGCAGCCATTTAAAAAAATTGCAAATTGTAGCCCAAAAGTTCGAATAAATTGTAAATTGCAGCCCGATTCAACCTTTTCATCGATTTACATGTCCAAAAAATTTCGATTAAGGTTTTAGGGGTCATTTTAGCTCTTAGGGGCCCGAATTGAACTCAGAATTAGCAAAAAAAATAAAATAACGTAAGTGCTAATGATGGCAACGGGTCGGATCTGGAACGGGTCCGGTTGGACCCGGATCCAAATCCGTTTTTTGTATATAGGATCAAGATCCGACCCGGATCCGTTGGGTCTAGAAAATGAAGACCCGGATCCAGATCCGTCGGGTCCAAAACGGGTCCAATATATTTTGCCTAATTTTTTGCAATAAATGTAATTTTCGGGTCAAAAAATTTATTTCAAACTTACGTTGTTGGTTGTTAAGTTCAACCCCAAAGTAACCAACTTATACACTCATTTTTTGAATTAAAATTATAAACAACAAAAAAAAAATGATGTTACATATGAGCTAGTGAAAAACAACGATTATGTGTATCATATAGCATCCAAAATTCATCTCTTGAAAGGGTTAATCTTTATCATTACTAACATTATCAACATTTTTAATAAAGAAACAAACAATTTTAGTTTTTTTTAAAATGAAAAATAAAAAAAACGGGTCCACGGATCTGGATCCAGGTCAAGGGCCCAGACCCAGATCTAGATCCGTTTTTGTCAGCAGGACCCGGATCCGATCCGGGTCCGTCGGGTCCAAAATTTAAAGACCCAGATCCGTGAAAAATGGATCTAGATCCACGGATCCGGGTCGGGTCCGGATCCATTGCCATCCCTAATAAGTGCCTTTTATTACCTTGATAATAAACAAGAATTGTTCATCAAGGGGTGTATAGGTAAATTACATCTAACTTTGGTTAACTATTGTTTTCTCTCTTCTCTTTCAACCTTTTAGTTTTTTTTTATTTTCTCTCTCCTCCTTCAACCCTTTATTGTTTTCTCTCTCCTCTTTCAACCTTCAATTTCAATGGTGGAAAGTACACCTTTTCACTATATGATTCCAAACAAGTCGAAATCAATGGAGGGAGAAAAGCTTAGGGCCTGTTCTCTTACGTTGAAATTCAGTTCAGTTCAGCTCAGTTCAGTTCAGCTCAGTTCAATTCAGTTCAGTTCAGTTTAGTTCAGTTCAGCTCCTAATTTCCTTCTCTTATAAAATATTCAGTTCAGTTCAGTTCAGCTCAGTTCAGTTCAGTTCAATTCAGTTCAGTTCAGTTCATTTCAGCTGAGTTCAGTCAATGAGAACATGCTCTTATTTACCCTTTAGGGTTAACTATGCATGCCCTTTATTCTCACTTTTTTATTTGGGATTTTGTTTAATTTTGGCCGCCGAAAATGGTGTTGCAAAATAGAATTTAGTAAAGGAAGGAAGAAAACTTAGCTACCCTTTATGGTTAACCATGCCATTAATTTTTCCTTTTGCTATTAGGATTTTCGTTTAATTTTGCCGGCAAAGCCAGCGGAAATGGAGTTGAACGGACTTAAAAAAGAGAGGGTGAAAGTGGGCAGAGATGGGAGGGAGAAGATTAAAGTGGGTGGGAAGAAAAAAATATGAACAAGATGAAGAAAAAAAAAATATGAAGAAGAAGAAGGTGGGAGGAAGAAGCAAGATGATGAATATATAGTACTATAGTAGCAAATGGAGAGTTTACGATGGTAGATTTGAAAAATTTTCCAACTTGTCATCATAGTGACCCACAAACAGTAAAAATTTTATAGAGTATTTTATAATAAAAAACACAATAATTTTCAATGCAACTTATCTACGAAAATGTCATTTGATAAACCCAATTTGTTTATGTAGGTTATAAACGGGGGTTTGCTCTTAAAGGTCATCGATTTATCAATTGTTCGATTATATTTTGATTTGAGTCATTTTAGTACCTGTAAGGTTCTCGGACTAGTTCAAATTTTAACAACAATTGCATTCTTATATATAGGCATTATTAACCTCCAAGTATAAGACATTGGTATACCAATTCCTTAGCTTTTAGAGATGGTGTAATAAGACATTGATATACCAAGAGTTGTAAATAGTATTCATACATTAAAAGTAGAAAATGTTACAACAATCACTCAAGCAGATTATTGGTGACAAATAATCACACTTGAGTGGTCGCCTTGTACTAGAAAGTACGTGTATGTGACTTATTGGAAACGTATAAACTCCAAGGCAAAACCGTGAAGCTAGGCTAGAGGCTATCACGGTAGCTTCAGCTTCATACTTCATTGGCGCATGGGCAATAATCCTGATCAATTTTACATGGAAACCAATAAAAGTATTAATAGGTGTGTACAATAAAAAAGAATTAGTAATATCCGATATGAAAAATCTTTGAACGTGTTCATCTTAACAATTTATGAATAATCGTGCATGTCTTACCATTTTCTTGACGAAAATTCCAACAGACTCGAGATAGTTGTTGTGCCTTCCAAAAACTCCGACGATAGGGCCGTCGAGTGGCATGGGTGTTGAGAATTCTTTAGGTGAGCATTCAATTCCCTTTCCTTGTCCAAATGGTCCATACCCGGTTGGACAGAAATTGGTGTGGATCTTCATTGTAGCAATTACGCATTGGTTGTGTTGATATTTGTAGTTTCCGTAGGTACCGCTAATTCCAGTTATTTTTTCACCGCACTTGAGCACAATCTATATTTGTACATACATGCATATAAAGTGAATTAGTGACGGTCAATGAATAACATGTTAGAAGCCTGAAAATTAAGAGTTAAATACGTGTGAAAGGATCAGCTCAGCCAAAAATTAAAGTTGATGGTTGAATTAAAACTAATAAGACTAAGATAGGTTTATATACTTTATGAGAATGATTAAATGCTTTTGAAGACTTGAATAGGTACAAGTAGGGTATTGTGTATTAACCTTGGACTCGCTTCCACAATTGCCACCAAACATCTTGGTGTAGGTACCTCCACTACACGGCTTAGCTACGACGAACCCAATTGCATCCACAATGAACCCATGCCTTATTATAACTTCCTTGATACTTTCACCTTCTTGAATTTGAAAGCTGTAGTTTTCAGGGCATTGAGAACCATAAGGTCCATATTGTTCAATCATTTGCTTCTGTTAAAATATAAATTTAACGTCAACATACATATATAATCAAATAATTAAGCTTGAAGAAATCAATTAAAATTTATGTGCAAAGAAAGAGAAAAACTATCACTACAAGAAAATAACCTTTTCGTAGCGATTATTTTAACCTTTAGTATCGATTGTAATTGCAACAAAAAGCTTTCCCAACGAATGGTCATTCGATACAATATCCCCCGTTGCCTTAGCCTTTAGTAGTGGTTTTCAATATCGCTGGGGTTGGCCTCAATAATCGATACGAAAAACTACATCCAATCGTGGTGATTATTGTATCGCTATAAATGTTCAACTCATTTTCTTCAAAAAAAAAAAACATGTGTATGATCTTTACAAGATTCGAACATGTAACCTCAAACTCTTATATTAAATGTTTCACCAATAAGCTATGACATATTTTATGTATTCTTTGTCAAACAATATTTATATCTCTAGTGTTGAAAAGGCTTTTCGTATCGATTTTTAGGATTTAGTGGCGATTGTAAATGATACGATTTCTCAAAATTATATAAATGTGTAAAAATAGTGTGGATATGTATTATTATGCTTTCCGTATCGATTTTATATGGGAAAACCATGGCGATTGTAAAAATGATACGACATCCTTAATTATTTCACAAATATACTTGCATATTGTAGCGAATGAACAATCGCTACGAAATAATCGCTACGAAAAGTGATTTTTCTTGTAGTGTATGGGATCACGGCAAGCTAACTCTGTACAAACCTGGGCGATTTGTTGAGCCATTTTGTTGAGAGATGATTGATGAAGCTTGGAAAAAACAAAGTAGTAGTAGTAGTAGTATTAAGTGAGTTATGATGTGCTTTGGTTGAAGAGGTTATCTATTTATACACATGTTTGGATCACTAAGAATGAACATATTCTTGTGGAGTTGTGGTCCGTCATGTTTGCCATATTATACGTACGGAGTTATATATATATTCGTTTAGATAATTAACAATATGATTTTATACATGCATGTGAACAAAGAAAATGGGATTTATCGTTTGAAATTTAATGGACAATTTATGGATGTATGATGTATATTATATTGTACGTTGAATCATGCATGAGTTTTATGTTGATCTGATGCACTTGCATGGAAATATATTCTCTGCGTCAAAAGCACGAAGAGTGTGCCCACATTTGGAGGCTTGGAGCTCAATACTCATATAAGTCTTATTGTCATATACATAATTTTGGAATTTCTCTCAAGTAAATCTACAGAGACTGAGGAAAGGTTAATAAAGGTACAGATACCTCCATTCAACTTCTTATTTAAAGTGTTCATAGTTAGGATCGAACGTTATATTCATTCTTAAGCCTGATAGGTTTTATCTTTTTTATTAGTCCAACACTTAGTTTGTGATACATACTACACGTATAAAGTAACTTTTTATGCATAGTACTTCATTCATGCGTTGTCTTTTACTTGCAACAAAGTTATACGCCATATACTTTGATCGAGGAAGAGATAAGTCGATTTGATAATATAAACAAACAAATTAAATCAATCTTAATAATTTATATACATAGTACATGACCCTTATTTTGGATGTTAAAATACTTCAATTCCTCCGGTTTTAGTTGACATATTTTGTTATTAGACAATATTCATAAATCCTAATTTGACTAGCTTTTGTGATTTAGAACATAGTCATGTTGAGGTCTTGTTAGATAATAGATATGCCTCAAAGTATATTTTTATAAGAGACATTAATGTTTACTTATTGATAATTAAAGACATTAATCATTGAAATATTACGTTAGCTAACATAAACAGAAAAAAAATAATAATAAAAAAGGTGTCAACTAAAAAATTTCGAGAATCCAATAACGTTAGCTTTATTTCAATGGCTGATTTGGTGACGTTTAGATTAATATAGATTGAATTCACACAGACTAGGTATGACTAATGAAGCATATATATAAAGCCACTTAACTGAAAGTAATACCAAAACTAAGATTATTAACGCTAACATTGATGACCATCAATAAAAGACAAGCTTAGATCGAGTTTAAATTTATAATTTGAGATGCATAATTTCTCACCTTTCCTTAAATTTTTAATTACATGCTCATAAAGAAAATAGGTGGGACTTTGACAAGTGTTTTTGCTCAAAAAGAAAGAAAATAAAAACTACATTAGAATTGTCATTGTCACAAGAGAATGAGGTATTATGCTCATTATATCTAACAAAATATTTCTTTTACTTCATTCCTCTTTAGAAAATTTGATGTTTTCTTTTATTTATTTTGCTATCGCAACTTTGCAAGGTTGAGAAAATGCTTCGGATAATTCATGTAAATAGTATGCAACACGTATATTTGATTCAATATTTATGAAATTGTGTTTAACCAACCTTATTATTTCTGGAGTTTAATTTATTGATTTTTATAATTGCAACACGCATAATTTTTACGGTATTTAAGACAAATAAGATAAATAGTACTCTCTCCGTCCCTAAATTACATTTCTATTTCTAGCATTTATTCCTCACATAATAGAGAGAAGTAGGAATGTAATTTAGGGACGGAGGAGTACAACTTTTAACAACAAAAAATTCTAGTTATAGTGTAATGCAACTTGCAACCTAAGTATTAAATGGAAGAAGTACTCCGTACTTTGTTTTTTTTTTTTTTTTTTGTACTTAATTTGTCCTAATTTAGTGTACCTCGTCAGGGGAGTTTTATTTTTATTTTTTTTTAACAACAACTAAAAACCATAAACAATAAGAAGAAGGAAAAAAAAAAAAGAAGAAAAAGGTGTTTCCACTTTTTAGTTGTCAATTTTCAAAATCATAATTTTAATAAGGGTCTGTTCTCTTACGTTGAAATTCAGTTCAGTTCAGTTCATTTCAGCTCAGCTCCTAATTTCCTTCTTTTATAAAATATTCATTTCAGTTCAGTTCAGCTCAATTCAGTTCAGTTCAGCTGAGTTCAGTCAATGAGAACAGGCCCTAAGTCTAAATAATTTTTGATTCATTATGTGACATATATAATATATTTTTAAAAAACAAAAAACCAAAAAACAGAAAATCACAGTAATGCCAAACGAACCCTAAATTCTTGGATTTAATTTTTAACTATGGGAAGAGTATTTTTGGAGAAATACCACGTTGTAAATTCTTTCCAAAGAGAGAAAAAAACATACTAATTAAATTGGACAAACGAAAAAAGACAAGTGAGCACATTAATTTGGGATAGAAAAACTTTTGTATACACTCGGTTTTAGGGTAACTTTATTCATTTCAGGGGTAACTTTTGCTCATTTTAGAATAACTTTATAACAGATGTACAATATTTTATTGTACATCTAATATTTTAAAAAAGTTTGTCTTTGGGATAAATGGAGGGTCTGTTCATATTTACTTAATTTCAGTTCAGTTCAGTTCAGTTTAGCTCCAATCAGTTCAGTTCAGTTCAGCTTCAATCAGTTCAGTTCAGTTCAGCTCCCAATTTCCCTCTCTCATAAAATATTCATTTCAGTTCAGTTCAGCTCCAATCAGTTCAGTTCAGTTTAGTTCAGCTCCAATCAGTTCAGTTCAGTTCAGCTCAATTCAGTAAATGTGAACAGGCCCGGAGTTATTATAAAAAATGATTTTACTTAATTTGATTGGTTTCTACTGAATATATACAATTTTTCTTTTGCATCAGATATACAATTTTTCTTTTGCATCAGATGGAGTGTTCAGATAATACTCATGTAATAGCTCGTAATGTAGGGCCTGTTCTCATACGATTATTTTTAGTTCAGTAAAGCTCTAATAAGTTCAGTTCAGTTTAGTTTAGTTTAGTTCAGCTCTAATAAGTTTAGTTCAGTTCAGTTCAGTTCTAATAAGTTCAGTTCAATTCAGTTCAGTTTAGTTCAGTTCAGTTCAGTTCAGCTCTAATAAGTTTTGTTTAATTCAATTCAGTTCAGTTCAGCTCATTGCAGTCAATGAAAACATGCCCGTACTCCTTTTGTTTCTAATAAATTACAATAGTCTGATTTTTTTTCACTATTTATTTATATATTTACTTTGCCCACGAGTATAATTTTTATCATTATATAAAATGTAAATGTTGTAATACTCGCAACAATGTACATTGGCACAAGTAGCAAACTAGCAATTAAAATGTTTCAAAACTCACTCTTTCCAAGTCTGATCAATTTTTTCAACAATAATGATATTGAGCGCGTTTGGTGAAAAGCTAAAGTTGAATGTGTTAGCTAATTTTGACTAAATTGACTAACTTATTTTATTAGCTGATTGTATTAAAGTGTTTGAGAATAGTTTATTGCTTAAATATGTTTACATGTGAAATGACCAATAAGCTAGTTGAGAGGGTAGATAGTTCATATAGGATTTAAGATTAAATAAGGATATAAGTGTCATTTCACTGTAAGAATTGAATAAGCTAATTGAAAAGGCTCATAAAAGGAGTGTTTGAAAAAGAGCTTATTTAGTGAAATAAGCTCTTTTAATAAACTTTTGACCAAACACCTTATCAATAAGACAATAACTATATACTAAAAGACACATCAGCAATGGCACATGTCATCTCCTGTTTTTTTTTTTTTTTTTTTTTTTTTTTTTTTTTTTTTTAAGAAATAACAAAAAAAAACAAAAAATCAATAACAGAATAAAATCTTATACGAAAATAATTTCTTATATATATTAATAAAAAGGATGATGACTTTAAAGGTAAAAGAATTGATTTACCTTTTCACACAAACATTTATGAGTATAATAGAAAATATTAATATGATTTGCAACATATAATGATATACTACATGAAGTATGTCATTATATTAATATAGTGTATATACTTTTACTACCCCTTGAATGATAATAATCCCGCTGTTTCCCATCTCTAAGTGAAAATAAATTATTAATTTATTTTATTTATAGAAATATTAGTATTTACTACCTTAATATATAAAAATTAGTTAGAATATACTTCATAATATTAATATAAACACAAAAAAAAATCTCATGAAGATATTACAGTATTGTTTATTGCTTCATTCAAAACATGTTGATACTATTTTCTCAAAAAAAAAAAAAAAAAAAGTTAATACTATGTATAATTATATATTTGAATACATTATCTACACATAAGTATTTTAATTACTTAGTAGACGATTTTAAACCTGAGTATTTAAGAATATTAAATTATTCAATTTATACTTATTAGATAAATCCACTTATCTTTCATATTTTAACTAGCCTTCTGACCCGTGCAATGCACAAGATGTTTATAAGGGGTACAATAGTAACTTTTGTTTTATAATATGTTTTAATTGGAAAATGAATAGTTTATAAAGGAGAAGAAGGGGTGATAATTGAATGTAATTGTAGAGATATTAAGTTGGGGGAAAATGAATCAAATAACATTCATATATGTTTTTTTTTTTTTTTTGAAGGGAACATTCATACATGTATTGAATTAAAGCTAGTTCTTTTTTAAAATAATAAGAAAGGGGATTAATTAATGAAGGGAGGTGACATGTGGCATTGGTGAAAAATAAATTTTAATTACATGTGGCATGATGGGGATGATGATTTGTGTTTTTAAATACTAAAGTATAGAAGTATAGATATAGATTTGATCAAAGATTGTCCACATTGTTTTTAGATTTTTTTTTTAGTTGTTGCAAAATAACCAATTATATTGAAAAATTGATATTATTTTTTTTTTAAAATTACAGTGCATGACACGAGACCCAACCTAATATTAGCTTATTTAAAAGCCAATAAGCTAATGTTGACCAAATAAGCTAAACTTATTCAAATAAGCTACATTATTTACCACTTTAAGAGCATCTCCAATGGTTTAATTGTAATGACTTGCTTGCAATATAAATAAAGTTTCTAGCTACATGCTTACCATGGGAGAACATAAAATTGAGCAACATGCATGCAAGTGTAGCCCAAACAAGATACATGCTTGATTAAAATAAACTGCACTCATATTTTAATATGTGTACAATTATTTTTTTTTTTCAAATTACAAGATGTTGTAGCTTACCATTGGAACATTTTGTTGCTAAACAGTGTTGTACGGTTGTGTCATACTAATGTATGGTTGGTGCACCATGCGCATGGTGCACCCGGAAAGAACATTAGGTATATTTAAAAGTACATGGGCGAAAAAAAGAACATTATAGATATTTATAAAGAACATGAACATAATATGTTCTTTAAATTTGATTATTATGTTCTTTGAGTTTGAAATATATGTTCTTTATATTATACAAAATGTTCTTTAATGTATGTACATTTAAAAAAAAAAAAAAAAATTCACCCGAGTAACTAGAAAAAACAACATGTTCTTTACTGTATTATCATGTTCTTTTTGTAAAGCCTTTATGTTCTTTGGCTAGAGGTGATCAAAGTTAGACTGACCCGACTTGATTTTGGACGGATTTTGGGCAGAATTTTTTTGCCCCCAAATCGGGTCGGACCCAGCCCGTAAATTTAAATTTTTGGGCGAGTTTGGGATTGCGTTTTTATGCATTATTTTAGTTGATTTTTTTAACTCAACCCGAAAAGCCCGCACGACCGGACCATTTTGGGCAGGTTTGGGCACAAAAACTTCAGCCCAAAACTTGGTCCGACTCGAGAAGTGAGCTGTTTTTTAACTTTACCCCAGTCCGTCCAATGATCACCTATATCTTTGTCAAACACGAACATGTTCTTTTTTGTCAAATATAATGTTCTTTTTCAAACACGTTCAACCACCCAAGTAACCATGAAAAATAACATGTTCTTTTTGTACAGAATTTATGTTCTTTGTAATGTCACGTTCTTGTCAAACACAAACATGTTCTTTTGTCAAACACATGTATGTTCTTTTTCAAATACTAGCATGTTCTTTTTTTTCCCATGTTCTTTAAAATATGCTTAATGTTCTTTCCGGGTGCACTATACTATTTTCAGTGTCATACGGAGTAATTTATTTGTGGACCGAGCTTTGTTATAAACATCGTTTATTCTTCGAAAAAAAAAAAACATCGTTTATTCTTTCCGGAGAGTTAAACAGAAAAGCCCATGTAAACAATTCATCAAATATCTAATTTTTCTTTCATATGATCTTTCTTCAACCCAGAAAAACAAAGAGGGGTTTTACAGAAAAAAAGGGTTTAACTTTAACACTACAAACTACAAACTACTCATTCTTCAACAATTTTCCGCCATTATCAAACCTCACTCAACAATGGTGGTACTTAAGAAGGTATTGAAGAAGGGTTTAGGAGAAATGGGGTTCAACAAAGGAGGTGGTCCAGTCAATTGGTTCCCTGGTCACATGGCTGCTGCTTCTCGCGCCATTAGAGACCGTCTTAAGCTCGCTGATTTTGTCATTGAAGTTCGCGATTCTCGTGTAATCATCTCTTCATTTTCTCACTTTTCTGAATTTTGTTTTCAGTTTTTTTCTTGGGATTTGAATTTTTGATGGTATGATTATGAATTTATGATGATTTACAGATTCCATTATCTTCGCAAAATGAGGAACTTCAGCCGCTTCTTACTGGTAAAAGGCGTATTCTTGCTCTCAACAAGAAAGATTTGGCTAATCCTAACATTTTACCTGTATGTTATTGTTTTCTTCCTGTTGTTTTTTGGTTTGATTTTATAATAATCTGTTTTAATTTGATCTTAGTTTTGAGTAATTGGTGAGATCTTGTGTATGAATGTATGATTAATTAATATGTTTTGATGAAGTTGCATATATTTTTTTTAATGTTATTATGTTGGATGATAGATGGTGAGTTGGGGAAGAGGTTCTTTGTCGACGTACTTTGGAGATAAATTCATGGTTCATGTAGCCGACCATTCGACCTCATTTATTTAGGATTAAGGCTTTTACATTGTTGGTTTTGATGTTGTGATAGCTTATAGTAGTGGTGGTGGAAGATAGCTAGTGCAGGCGAGGCAAAGACAAATAGGGCTTGTACGATTTCTTAAAATTGGGCCCTTGTTTCATAGTTCAAAATGCTTTTAAAATGTTGGGAAAATTGAAACCAAAGGATTTAAAAAACAAATTGTTCGACATGAGAATAATAAACCAACATTTATTAAGCATTGAGCTGAACATACTTCTCCAATGAGCCTAATATGATTCCTTGCTATCAATGCAAACAATTAATATATATCTTACTTGAAGCCCTTGTATCTTGGGGGCCTTGTGCGGTCGCCCACTACCACCCCTGGACCTAATGCTGGGATAATTTGTAGCTGGATTCATTGTGATACTTTATTACATTGCTAAAAATGATCTTTTAGTTGTATTCTGTACATAGCATTGCTTTTGCAGTTATGGCTTATGCAGTTGAAGACAGTTGTATTATTAAGTGGGTTACTAACTTACTGATGTCTGAGTTTGGGTTTCGTTTTCTTATTTGTTTACTTTTTTTGAGCAGAAATGGATAAAATATTTCGAGTCTGACAAACAAGATTGCCTTTCGATTAATGCTCATAGCAAGACTTCTGTTAAAAAGGTTAGTTAAGTGTAAAGTTTTGTTTGCTTCATGAGTTCATGTGGTTACTTTAATTTGCAATAATCATGCCTTTTAATTTGACTTACTAAGGATCTACGATAGTGGCATAAATTCTTTAAATATTTTACTGTTGCTATGTTAGAATGCCCAGGAATAGAAGCTCACCCAAATATGTTGTAATGATATTCATCTTGGGAGTGGACTGCATTGTTGAAACAACCTGAAACTTTTTGTGTCATCGAAATTTTTTTAATTTGCTTTTCCAATTGTAGGTGTAATTGGTGCTACATTTACTATATACTCTATTTTTAGAGAAGGTCTAACGTCCAATGAGTATAACTGTGCAAAGGTGTTCCTTTTGCAAATTAATTGACCTAGTAGGACCCTAAAAATGTAGCCATAATACAAGGAAGCTATACGTCAAATAACTAAGGGTGATGTCCAACTGTGCAGTTTCACGTTTCTTCCACAGTTCCACCTCTCATGTCCTTACAAAGTTTCTTGTAGTCTAAGGTCCTGAGAGCTGCTTTATTTCTCTCGCTCTCGCTCTCGCTCTCTCTCTCACTGTCACACACACACACACAAACACACTCACTCACCCTCATAATTGAACAAAAACAAATCAGAGGGCCATAAGAATTCTTGAGAACCCTTTATCAATGCTAGAACATGAGATTTATCATTCTTAAGAACCTTTTTCCTAAGCTTTGGACTTATAATATACTCTAGTCCAGCTCTTCCTTAGAGAGGATTTGAAATTGATTAGTTGGCATTGTTCCCTTTCCTAATCACCATTAAGTTTTAACTACTTGTCTGATATTTCTTCGATTTATGGATAATTGTTTATTTTGGTTTCCTGATTTATACGTTTTCAGTTGCTGGATCTTGTGGAGCTGAAGCTTAAAGAGGTCATTTCCAGGGAACCTACACTTCTTGTTATGGTAGTTGGGGTTCCAAATGTTGGCAAGTCAGCTTTAATTAATAACATCCATCGGATTTCAGCTGAACACTTTCCTGGTAATTTTAGCCAAGTTTTTTTTTTTTTGGTTGTCTGAAATTGATTATGCAGTTGTCAGCTTGTTGATTGTAAGGGATATTCACCAAATGGATGAAAACCTAAATGTTTCTCATAGTGCAGGAGAGAATGAAAAAGGCGATTGTGGGACCATTGCCTGGAGTTACTCAAGATATTGCTGGATACAAGGTCAAGTGTGCTTTTATTTTATTCAATGCCTCCTTGCAGAAATCATTTAGAGGTACCAGTAAAAATCTAAAAACATGTTGAGTTATTCAGAATCAGAATTCACTTTTTTAGCATCTTGTCTGCTCCCCCCACCCCCCCTCCCCTTCCCCCACGCCTCTTCCGCATGCAAATCTTGTATTATATACCGTGTGACTGTGTGAGTATGTTTTGAAGGGGGTAACACTCTAAACATTGTTTACAATTTGCACAGATTGCGCATCAGCCTAGCATTTATGTTCTTGATACACCAGGAGTGTTGGTTCCTAGTATTCCAGATATAGAGACAGGCTTGAAATTAGCTGCAACCGGTTGGTTTCTTCATCTGATTTTACTTATGCTGTTGGATCATAAAACTCTCTTTACCTCTGCGTTATGTCTCAGTTTGAGTTGTAAGCTACCTAACTTTTTGGACTTGATAGTCACTTTGTTCATTAGCGGCTGTCTACATTCTTAAATATATTCAATATTTCTTACAACTAGTAAATAGGTTTTCGTTGTTTGTAAGTTTAAAATAGTGATTTCCTGTAACTATGCATTTGTTTTGTGCTCTCTCCAGTCCTACACACTTTGGCTGTTTTACACCATGCTAATACCAGAATAAGTAACCAGTCCTAGATATATTGTAGATAGTGTATCCATGGCATTCTTTTGCAATACTTCATCTAGGTAGTTAAGTAGTTTCATGTTCCTGGATGCATTTCCCTCTTCACGCAGAATTTAGAGTAGCATCTTTTTCTTGCTGTCTCATTCTGCCCTTTTTTTAATACAACAATCTGAAGTATTAATCTAGCCAAATTTGGGGCTAGCATGTTTTGAAAGGAGGGATCACAGCGCTCAAATTTCTTCTGAGTTGTTGAATTCATTGGTGTCCTTGCAGGATCTGTAAAGGATTCAGTTGTAGGTGAAGAGCGTATTGCTCAATATCTGCTTGCTGTATTCAACAGCCGTGGGACTCCTATTTATTGGAAGAATTTGAATGATCGGAAGAAAGAACTTCAGAATGGTTCTGAGGGAAAACATGAATACAGCATAAAGGATCTTTTGCCAAACAGAAGGAAGCCACAAGATGATTCTGCTGTTTATTATATTGAGGTATAATTTCTACTTTTACAACTTTTAGTTTCTTAAGCTTGGAACTAGGGTACGTTGATAAATTAGGTTTTAACTTTTCTGGATTCCAATGAATATCTTCTGAGCAGCGATTCATACATGAGACATTTAGACTATGAATGATGGCGTATGTTGCCTATAATTTTGTATCAATACATAGCTGGAAACCTAACACAATCCCTGATAAGTGAAGCCTTGATTTTATGTGTCTTATTTGGTCCATACAGTGTATTTACTTTGCAGTTGTCCCAACTACCATGGTTCAGTTTCTTTTATCTACATTTCACAAACATAAACACCAAATGATTAGGTGTCAAGTCTTATTGACAAAGGAAATGAGTGACGCACTTGTTGAATGATATTGCAAGGAAAAAGTTGGGGGTGGGCGGAGGTTGCCTTGACTCTAAGGATTGTTGTATGATGATCCTTTTCAATTTTCATACCCTTAAAGATACTAGGAGAGGATGTTAGAAAGAGAGCCAAATTCGAGGTTTTTTGCTCCTGATTAAAATTAAAATTAAGATATTATGTGAAAGTGCTGTATGGTGGGATTTGCTTAATTATAACGGATAACCAGCAAAAGATTGAGTGCTGTAAATGAGAACGCCAATTTCAGTTTTTTGGAGCCACTAATTTCCAGATGTCTTTAGCAACACAGAAAGGGTGTGGTCGTGTGGAAGAGGCATGCAGGACAGAGATAGTATTTAAATGAAAGAGCACTTTACTTTCTTAGATCATGTAGTGGTCTACATTCTACAATGCTTGCACTAACCAGATTTAAGGTTAACAGATTGCATCTTAAGTCACAATTGGTTGTGTAACAGAGATAAGTCCACAGTCCCTCAAACTGGTGGAATAGCTATTTGGTATCTTTCTTTTATTCATCACTCGTAATATGTTCTATTGTCATGTATAGGTGTGTTGGAACTTGGAACCTTTATTACCATTTGTGTAAACATCACAAAAAGCTTAAGTTCTATCGCCAGTACAGGCCAAGGAGGTTACAAGGGGAGCCTATGCCTGCTGGAATTTTCTTTTAGTGAGGTTTCATCATCAGATTGTTGTGTCCTTAGTACATATTTTGCTTCATGCATGACGTGGTGCTTCTTTGTCAGATGTAGTTCGCCCAATCTTCTTTGTGAGCTAATCCAACTTGTGTTTCTACATAGATTCAACATGTTCATAGTCTTGTGGATGATTTTGCTAGTTTGCACATAGGTCTGCTTTACCTTGCAACATGAAACCCTTAATCTGAATTATGTATGCAGGATATTGTAACAGAAGTGCAATGTGCGCTTACCGATTCTTTCTTAAATTTTGATGGCGACCTTGAAGATGAAAACAATATGGAGAGCCTCATAGAACTGCAGTTTGATGCACTACAAAAGGCGTTTAAAATACCACAAACTGCTTCAGAAAGCCGTGCAAAGGCTTCGAAAAAATTTCTGACTTTGTTTAGGATGGGTAAACTTGGCCATTTCATCCTTGATGATGTTCCTGATGTATGCCAACCTGTATCTTCAACAATTTTGTAAGCTGTTATCTTATTTAGAACTGATAAACGAATCTGTTGTTACTATAGCAAGTGAAGAATGAACATTTGGTTGTTTGTCACAATATATTGCAATAGAGACCTATGAGTTATGAGTCAAATCATGGGGCATTGTTGCATGAATATTGGTATATACCTCTTTACAAATTTACGTACTATTACAATTCTTTATTACACCCTACCAAGTACCAAATGGTTCGAAAGTGCAAAACTTCATAGCAATTAGCAATAATAATAATAGGAAATTTCTTATGTTCATATGTTTGATTCTTTTGCCATATTATTATTAGTAGAGAGTATTTTTAAAAAGCTAACAAACATGTCATGCTCATGATCAAACATAAACAGTTTGAGGAATACTAACCCAACCCATTTAACTATTAAACATGTCATATTATGTTGACCTGTATAATATACTAACCTGCTTTTTCCGTGCTTGGTTCGTGTTGTATTAAAAAGAGTTAGCTTCATTCAAAATATTTATGATTAATTCCATAAAATGTTTTTTTTTTCTTAGATCGACTTAGTCGCATTGGGAAACTCTACACAAACTGGTCATAACTTTTGATTATCATTTACTTATTGTTAAATATTGTTAATTGCGTATTAATTTTTTTTTATAAAAATTACATATTTAAAAAGTTCATAATGAGACGAATCTAACAAGATCCATTTTGATGATATTTTTCTTTATAGATTAGTATTAAAATGCGGTTAAAGTTTAGTCAAATTATTAAATCAGATCAGATCAGACCAGATCAGAAAAATTCAGATCAGACATTAAAAAATTCAGACCAAATCTACTCGTTTCAGGTGAAGAGAACAAATCCTAAATATTGTGAATTGTGATGGCCTTGAACGAGTAGTAAACCCTTAACAATTTTCCCTTTTTTTTCGTGTTCAATTTCTTTCGTGTTAACTTTTGCAAGCAGTAACTTTTACGAATTTGTGACAAGATTAATAATATAATATTGAGAGCATTTGTGGTACAAATCCTATGGGAATAGTTTAGTGGATCGTTGAAATAACTCCCTCCATTTTAAAAGTGGTTCCTTTTATTACCCTAAGCCCAAAACCAGCACCTCAGAACCCTAATTTCTCCACAAAACCCTAATCCCAATATAACCCCCAACTCATTTCTGAAAAAAGCTTGAATTCTCCAACAATGGCGACTCCAGCCCCCAAACAACTCCACTCAGTCCAATGCTTCGGTCGCAAGAAGACCGCCGTCGCAGTCACCTACTGCAAAGAAGGCCGAGGTCTAATCAAGATCAACGGCACACCAATCGAGCTAGTTCAACCGGAAATCCTCCGATACAAGGTGTTCGAACCAATCCTTCTACTCGGTCGTCAGCGCTTCAATGGCGTCGACATGAGAATCCGCGTCAAAGGAGGAGGTCACACTTCTCAAATCTACGCAATTCGACAGAGTATTGCTAAAGCTCTTGTTGCGTACAACCAGAAATTCGTCGACGAACAAACGAAGAAGGAGATCAAAGATATTCTTGTGAGGTATGATCGTACTTTGCTTGTTGCTGATCCTCGTCGTTGTGAGCCTAAGAAGTTTGGTGGTCGTGGTGCTCGTGCTAGGTTCCAGAAGTCTTACCGTTGAAGAACATACCTTGTTTTAATGGCGGATTTCTGAGTTTATTATGGATTGTTAGTGTTATTTTTAATGATTATGAGCTCTGTTTGTTGTTAGTTGAAAGAAACTTGAAACCCTAATTTTTGATTTTGTAAGTACTTGAAAGTTTTGATAAATCGTCAGATTTATATTTTGATGATATCGTAAATGTTTTGGTTATGGTTTTTAATGTTTGAGATTGAGTTGCTCAAGCTTAAACTCGTATTCAACTTGCCATAACAATCATATTTGGTTCAGTTCATTTTCAGTCAATGAGAGCGGGCCCTAATTCAATGTTGTTTCGTGTATCGAAAGCATGTTCACGAGTTATCCTGTTGTTAGCTCTTAGAAATTTCAAACCGAGTTCGAATAGTTCACGAACTAGCTACACTCATGAGTACACAAAAGATGCTTTCCTAGTCTTCTGGTATGTAAGTATGTAACAATCAGGCGAATCAACTACTACTCTGTACCGGTCTCATTTGGTGCAATGTCGCAAGGAATGGACTGAGCAATTTTTTTACACGAAAATATTCCGTAAATGCTCTAAGTAATGTAGTGTTGCTTCTCTACTACTCTGTACACTACTACTCTGTACCAAAGTCTTCTGCTCAAACCAACATCTAAGTTTGCCCGTCAAAAGAAACAAGATACTTTGATATATACAAAATAAATACACATGGTAATAGAGATGTATCGCCATTAGAAACATTCATTATTTCGTTATATCCATAAGTATGCTGCTAGATAACAGCATCCTTTACGTCAAAGGAAAAGAAAAATAAAACCACATATATCATTAAGGAAATTAAATAAAGTCATAAAACTGGCATATATGCTACACAACAATTGGTAGCTGTAATGATTTCACAAAGTTGTCGATTTGTCCAAAGAAAGACAAGAATTTGCAAACCCGAAGTCAAAAATTGAGGGCTAAAAATGCCTAATATACGAATAAGGTGTTCCAAAAATTCTCCTTAATGTACAAATACGACAACATTTTTGTCAAGAATATGGCTGAAGAGGTACAAAATTGAACCGCAAAGCAATGGTATTTGCCAAGATGAAGTGACCTTACTTATTTGCCACTATAAATTCTCTGTACTCTTTCTTCATTTTGACTCCTGGAATAGACCTGGATATGCATAAAAATAGGTCATGTTCAGTCAATTGTGTATTCAGAGAACCCGTTGCTAATTAGCTGTGACAACCTCAAAAATTCTCCACACCCTAATTATTGAGTTCCTTATTTTTTGGAAGAACTAACAGAAAGCGATGATATCAAAACAGTTGTGGGAAAAGGTTAGGTCATCAGAACACCAAGCAAGACAGGGAATGGAGAATGATGTCGCATACATATAACAGTGAAGGACTCTACTCTACAGGTTAGATGACCAACCTAATCATTTCCTTGTTCTTGAAGAATTGTACACAAGGTGTACCCATAATTCCAGCAGCCTCTGCTATCTCCTGATCTTCCTCGATGTCTATTTCAACTAAATGAACGCTCTGGTCATATTCATCAATCACCTGCCATTACAAGAGAAGATTTTATACAAGGTAAAGGTGTATAATAATATGGCAATCACAATACTTGACCAAACTATAAATAGTTATTAACTATACAACAAAACTACACATGTGCCCTTAATCAACAAGTCCTTCCGCCCTTCCTAATAAAATCCTTCTCTATCTTTAACCCAACCCCAAACCACCATGTCCATAACCTACCATCACCCTCCCCATTAAAACCACTACTCACCCCCACGGTCCCCACCTACCTCAGCCATCCTCATGGGAAACCACAATCTTTCCCACTGAAACCCATCACCCCTAACCCACCAAAACCACCCGCCCATAAAATGCAAACACCGCCAACACCTTGACCCTCAAATCTAATTCCTTTCTCCTCAACCCTTCTCCTCCACCCTAATCACTAGATCCATAAACCACCATCGCTCCCACCACATCCATCACGCAGTCACGCACCACCTCCTTTGCAGTATTGCTTCTGAGATAAAGAGAGATTTCAGATCTGGAATATTTTATCTTTACAATAATCTTGGTGGTGGTGCAATTTCTAAATCTTTTTTCTTTACCTGTCTACATTCAGTCCCATATTTGGTAGTGGTTAGGTGGGGACAGTAGGATGCAGCTGCTGATGGTGGTGGGATGAGATCAGAGGTATGGTAGTAGTGGTTAGATTGATGTGGTGGGCTGAGGATGGCGAGGTTTTAGTTGTTAGATATGGACAGTAGCATGACGTAGGTGGTAATGATTGATGTAGCCAGTGGGGGGCAGAGAAGGGAAGGTGACTGCGAAATTGCACCATCACTCAAAAACATTCAGAAAGTCAAAAACCATTCCCACTCCATCTGCCTTCCAAACACAAAATTCTGACCATTTTCAACCCCATAATATGCATCAGAAATACTACGAGCAGTGTACACAGTTGTATGTCCTTTCCAATTCATACTGCAAACTATAATCTAAGTATACATACATATAGATTTTGAGTAACCATACCTTGTTAAGTATTGGTTTCAAGGTCCTACATGGTCCACAAGTTGGTGATGTATAGAGAACACATACAAGCCTCGGGCTTTCATGATACAACTTCCGTAAAGCATACTGCCAATGAAAAGCAGAATCAACTAAATGAATAAATATGGTTGAGAAAAAAAATAGAAAATCATATGCCATCAAGGGTAGTAACGAGGTTGTGAAAAGACACCTGGCCTTTGTGCTTGGTGCGGGTAATATCAAAACCCTCTTGTACATCACGAGGAGTAAGTTCCTTTTTAGCCTCTTCTCTTTGTGGCTGTAAAAAAGTAGTGATTGAAGCATGAATTTCTTAAATTTGAAACTTAACATAGAGTATGCTAACGTCAATATAATTCAATCTGTAATATTATACGAAGTGGCAATGTACGCAAACTTTCTGTCAACATAAGGTCACAGAAGAAGGCATTAGATGTAGACAAATAGCACAGAAATGACGGCTGATTATAAGATCACCTTTTTGCCTTTACTCTTACATGGCATTAAAAGCATCCCTCCTGTTCCCTTATTACTATGTAGCAATAGATAGAGCAGACAGATTTTGTAAATACTTAAATGGGGTAAGAGGTGAAAAATTTACAAAATACAAATCAAGAAAGAAGCATAGAAATTGTATATTATAGGCCATTCAACATCAAAAACATTCATGGACATTAGTCTCGATTTGACAGCTCAAGCAAACATGTATGTTTAAAAATAGATTATAGAGCTTAGAAGAGGACATAATAAATACCTACTACGGAGTACTTTCTTTTATTTGATAAATTATGCAGTAAAGTTCCATGGAGTATGTAAGATAAGTGAACAATTTAGTTGATCAAGTACCTGATGAAACTCAATTAGAATATTCTTGCTTGTAAGATATCTTTCAACTGACATAGCAGCAACACACCCAGATCCAGCTGCAGTAACTGCCTGTCTCCACTCGTGATCCTGCTTGTCCAATTACTCGTGTAAGAACTTTTCAGACTAAGATAGCTATAGCTTGAAGCATCACTTAAATGTATAATGCAGTAACCAGACAACTTTCATCCAAAAAATTTCTATTACCAGGTAAATTCAGATCAAATAGTATGCATATCATTATTATCATATCGAAACCCTAAATCTAATTCTTGGTAGTAAAGACCATCTACGGCTCTACGCTAATGAAGGATTTGCTAGCAAACATTTAATTTTAGGATTTATGGTGTTCGGCAATTTTTAATTGAAACATCATTTTGCAATGTAATTAAAAAATTTATAGGCAACATAACCAGTGCTCTCCCAAAAAAAAAAAAAAAACATTTTATGTTAAGATTAATTGGAGTCTGAAAACCGTAGTTAAAAAATATCTTATTTTTCATTCAAATTGTTGACCAGCTACTACAAGATACAATGAGGTTAAAATCAACAAAATAAATCTCTGCTATATCAAGATTTTAAGACCACGCCAATTATTCAATGGTGATAGAGGAACTTTTTGAAATCCAAAATAGAGAAATTTTGGGAAGAGAAAATTTAAGAATAAAAGGAGGAATGATGATTGAACTTGGGGCTTACAGGGGTCAATATGAATTGGAGATGAAGTTAGACTAGATATGTTACGTCGTCTGATAGCAATCTGTCATTCATAAAGGCATTTTGGCTAAAAGATATCAAGCGTCAAGGGTACCTCAGTCCTCAGGTAACCCCAAAACCAGGGGTATTTTGAAATTTTCATCAAACCTCAAGGTACCATAGAAAATTTCCAAATTTGAAGAGCATCCTGAATATTCCAGATTAGGTGTGATTTTAAAATACTCCCAATTCATGGATGCGGAGTTTGCTATTTATTAGTATAATAGCCGCATCATCCCACCAACATACTTATTTTCTCCCAACCAACCTCAACTTCATCATTTTTTAGAAGCTCTAATAATTAGTACTCAAGGTCAAAGTAAAGAAAATAACAATATTACTCTAGTAATGCAAATGAAATTAAATACAGAGAACAGTACCTGTACATCTCCAGCTGCATAAACACCTTCTACTGAGGTGCTTGCAGTGCCATCCTTCACTAAAATATAGCCTGCACTATCAAGTTCAACTTGACCTTCCAGCAATTGGCTGTTTGGAGAATGCCCAATGCCATAGAATAAACCTTTGGCCTCGATCACAGATTCCTCACCAGTATCAGCTCTTCGAGTCAGGACGCCAGACATTTGGCCTTTAGCATTGCCAACCACATCCAAAGTTTCTGTATTGAAGTGCACGGTGATGTTTGGGTTGTTGAAAACTCTGAAACATTCGCCATAATCAACCTGTTAAACAAACATTCAGATAGTTGAAAACTTGAAAACTCAATAAATCGACTTTTCTGGTAAACTTATCTAGACACAAAGCGATGCGCCCAGGTTATAACACCATGAACCGGTCAAATAATTGCTAAAAGGCAAACGTCCTTGATGAGGCAGTTCCTTTTATTTATTTTTCTTCTTTTTTTATTTTATTATTATTTTCTTTATTTTTATTTTTTGTTATTGTTGTTGTTGTGGGTACAGCATTTTGAAGGCAGATGACAGTAAATCATTTTATGGCCGGCAAGGAAGTATTTTAACGCATACATTTATTATAGAGAAATTAGAAATAAGTCAAAT